GGGGTCCGCGAGACGAAAGTAACCGATGGTTAGAGATGACGTGGCTCAAAATCGCTTGTGATGGCGTAGGAGCATCCACTCTTTGTATTCTCTCGAATCCTAATCGTCTGAATTCCGCATCACCTCTATCTTTCTCTTTTTAAATTTATTTCACTGAATTATGTTTTTTGGATAATTTCTTCGAACCCTAATCTTCTACTTTAACCGCTAATACTTGTACTACTATAGGATTTGAAAAGACACATTGCGTCTGGGTGCTATGTGTTATGGCCACTTGAACTGATGTACTTACGTATGTACGAAGTTCTACGTTGTAAATGACTGACTGATCAGTATAATAGTTAGTATATGTTAGAATATGACAACATGCCTACATTGACACTGTTACATGTGGATACATTTTCCATAGGAATTAAAATACCCTCAAAATTCTATCACACTAATTGTAAGCAGTCAGTGCTGTTGCGGGTATGAGGGCGATTATCACTTCCCGGCTGCCCACACCGTGGAAGGTTGTTTCTTGAGGGACCTGTAAAGGAAGATAGATTAGTGTTGGTCTTGGAGACCTGGGTGCGTGACCACAGAGCCCAAGGGACACCTGCTTGAAGCCGGTCACGCATGGCCTTTTTATGAAAAGTTTTTTGAGTGTTAGCTCCGCCCTTGAATGCCCTTAGTGGGCACCCTTACCCAAGGAGACGGAAATCCGTGAGGTAGAGTATGGTGTGACAATTTTAGGGTCGACCTTTTCTAACCCTTCCTTCCTTGTGAGAAGGCAGCATCGTTGCAGATGCTGGTTGTCCGAGGAAAACATCTTACTGCTGTTACAACCCTCTGTAGTTAGCAGTATGACTTCGCCCTCAGACCTTGAGTAGCTTCTTTTAGTCCCATCGCTCTCCAATCGATCTGCCTAGCATGGTAGGTCGTACAGGAAAATAAGTTCCAGCCAATATAGCTCGGCTGGGTCATCACGATAGTCAAGCCCGACCACCACGTCAAGGTAGCAGCTTCGGTCAGGTTAATTGTAAGCGGGATAGTTCCCCCGGCATGGTTTTCTGAATTATCTCATCTACTTCAAATTGTATTTCACTGGCAAAAAAAAAATTCACCAATATTTCACTAAATAAAGACACAAACAATCATCGGTTTATTTTTAGGGTCTTAGGCTTAGCATTCTTTTTCACCCGCATACATTGGACACAAAAGTCACATTATAAACCTTTGGCCGACAACAAACAACAATGATAGTATTCATTTGTACTGTGTAAAATTTATTGATCAGAAGTGATTTCTTTATTTTTTTTATCTTAAAAATCAAAACAACGACAACTGTACTCTTACATACTATACAAAATAACACATATATATGCACAATTTAAAGTTTAGCAGACATTAAAATGGAGAAAAAAGCAAAACAATTTCATTAGTTCTACTTTGTAATTTGCAAAATGTATTCATCTATTTCTTTTTTTTTTGAAAAGAAAAAATTTTTGGAATTCACCTTTCTTTTTTTCTCACTGGTTAACAATTTTAACAATTCTACTAATCGGGGGTTGTCTGTATTGTGTAACATTCATCAAAGATTATAAAATCAGTGATTTTTTTTTCTTGTTAAATGTGATTTTATTGATTGGAAACGGAAAACAAAAAGAAAAGATGGACAATTATACTTGCACAATTGAAATCATGAATTGATCAAGCACTGGACGGCCGTTTCGTTCTGGTTATATGGGACCTGATCAAAATACCAAAGAAAGGCGATCTCAGCAAGTGTGAGAACTACAGAGGCATCACTCTTCTTTCAATACAAGACAAAGTCTTCAACAGGGTATTGTTAAACAGAATGAAGGACATCGTCGACGCTCAACTTCGAGATCAACAGGCCGAATTTCGTAAGGATCGATCGTGTACTGACCAAATTGCTACATTACGGATCATTGTGAAACAATCAATTGAATGGAACTCACCACTCTAAATCAACTTCATCGACTACGAGAAAGCATTCGATAGCGTGGACAGGAAAACACTGTGGAGGCTTCTTCGACACTACGGTGTGCCTGAGAAAATAGTCAACATCATACGGAATTCTTATAATGGATTAAACTGCGAAATCGTGCAAGAAGGACAGCTGACAGACTCGTTCGAGATGAAGACCATTGTCAGGCAAGGTTGTTTACTCTCACCCTTTCTCTTTCTCCTGTTCATCGACTGGATTATGAACACGTCAACATCTGGAGCGAAGCACGGTATCAACTGGACAGTTAGGACACAGCTGGACGATCTGGACTTCGCAGATGACCTGGCTCTTCTATCACACACGCAACAACAAATGCAAGAGAAGACGACCAGTGTAGCAGCAGCCTCTGCAGCAGTAGGTCTCAACATACATAAAGGGAAAAGCGAAATTGCCCGATGCCACACAACATGCGCCAACCAAATCACTCTTGATGGAGATGTCTTGGGGGACATTAACACCTTTACATATCTGGGCAGCATCATGATCGACAATCAAGGTGGATTCGATGCAGATATGAGGGCGCGGATCGGCAAAGCAAGGGCTGCATTTCTACAATTGAAAAATATCTGCAACTCCAGACAATTTTCAACCAAAACCAAACTCAGGATTTTCAATACAAATGTCAAGACAGTTCTAATGTATGGAGCGGAAACTTGGAGGACTACGAAAGGCATCATCCGGGAGATACAAGTATTTGAGGACAGTTGTCTACGCAAAATACTTCGGATTCGTTGGCCAGACACCATCAGCAACAACGACCTACTGTGGGAGAGAACAAACCAGATTCCACTGGAGGAGGAAATAAGGAAGAAGCGGTGGAAGTGGATAGGACACACATAGTGAAAAGCACGTAACTGCATGACGAGACAAGCCCTCACTTAGAACCCTCAAGTCAAAAGGAAAAGAGGAAGGCCAAGGAACACATTACGCCGAGAAATAGAGAAAGTTATGGGAGGAATGAGCAAAGATTGGACAGAACTGGAGAGGGAAGCCCAGGACTGAGTTGGTTGGAGAAAACTGGTGGGCGGCCTATGCTCGATTGGGGGTAACAGGCATAAGTAAGTAATATGGGACTGATTCCTCAGTGACAGTTCGCATCCACGACTCCTGCATCTCGCAGGATTTGAACTCAGGAGACAGACGTTCGGTCTTGTGCGCGAACGTCTAGCCTCTGCAACAGGTTTCTAAAATAGTGTGGTCTAACTTTAATCGATTCATGATTTCAAATGTGTGATTTAGCAATCTTCACAACCTCGTAATGCAATTATACTACTTGCAAAAAACTGGTCTGATGTTTTGTGCTTAGTTCACCTAGTAGATAAGGTTTCATTTGTAGTAATTTTTAACAGTATGGAATGTTTAGACAGTGAGCGCGCATGACTCCATCAGGAGTCGAATCCAGAACCGTATTTTTTTTTAAGTATTATGAGTGCGTGTAGTTGAGGTGGTTTATAATGTCATGAAACTGAAATCAGTTTGATGAGTAATCTCGAAAATCTAAAAAAGTAAAACCATTTGTAACTAAATATTCCAGTTCAGTTAAAGGAAATAGGGATCAAAATTTGGTTTATACAAATGAATATCCTACTAACAAGAGTGAAATAGTCCACAATTCAAAATAAACTCTATTTTAAAAATTATTACTTGATAAACATGAACTTAGAAAATCAAAGTGAACTATTCTTATCAATACTTAGCCAAAACAAATTATTGCTGTTTTGAATATTCCGCTCAAATTTTGGGCGGTATTATTATTTGAATAAACATCTTACACAGGTTATTTGTTTCATTCCTCTGTATCCATTCAATTAGTCAAGTGCTAATTATATCAATTAAAATATGACACGAAAATCCACCACTTCAATCCTAAATAATTTATAGTTATAGCGTAAACAGCGTCCAGCGATGTGAATTTCTAACTTTGATCAACCTAATGTTTTGGATGTGTACTTCTCCATTACCGCTAGTACTTCTACTACCTCTACTACTATCGGATTTCAATTGACAATTCTATCGCTGTGCGCTAATGTCACATAGCACCTCGAACTGATGTACGTACGTACCTAGCTGTCCGTTGTAGCTGACTGACTGACTAGCACTTTGATATAGACTAGACTAGTACCAACAAGCCACCTTTCGTATAAAATAAATGAAATGTGACTAGCACTGGGATGCAAAATCTGTGTTTCGTTCTATTTTGGTACATGTCAATAACTGAGTCAGTTTGTTATATGTAGGTTACCTGGTCACCAATGGTTAGAGACCTTGAACGACATGGCTCAGAATCGTTTGCAATGGCGCATGTGCATCCACTCTTTGTGTGCTTTTTAATTCTAACCTTCTGAATTCCTCATAATCTGTGTCCTTCTCCTTCTAAATTGATCTCACTGAATTATACTTCTCGAATCATATCTTTGCTCCCTAATCTTCTCCATTACTGCTAATATTTCTATTATTGCTATCACTGTTGGATTTGAACTGACAGTTGCGTCTCTGTGCTGATGTGGTATGGCAACCTGAATTGATGTACTTACGTACGAAGTTCTGCATTGCATCTGTCTGTTCTGCTACCAGGTTGCGGTCCTCGAGACCTTGAATGACATGACTCGAAATCGTTTGCCATAGCGCCAGTGCATCTAATCTTTGTTTTCTCTCAAATTATAATCTTCTGAATTGCTCATCATCTCTATCTTCCTCTTACTAAAGTCATCTCACTGAATTATACTTCTTGAATAACCACTGTTGAATTTGAACTGTGCTGATATGCTGCTATAGCAACCTAAACTTATGTACTCATGTACGAACTCCTACATTGTAACTGACGGTACATGTACCTAAATCCTAGAATTGTGATCTTCACTCCATAAATCAAATTGAAATTTTTTTTTTCCTAATTAAATTACTACTGTATTTTTTTTTCTCTACTATTTAATTGTTTCTTTTTCGCATTTTTTTTCAAAAAAAAAACCAAAATTCATTTTAGATTATGCATGTTCGTGAAGCAACGGAATTAGATTTAATCCATGCAAAAAAAGAAGATATCAATAGAACTATACAAGTGTTCTATCAAAATTCAACTAAAATTCCACATCATCATGTCTATGAAACAAATCTCATGAACACAGAAGATCTTGATAATATTGATGTATGTGAAACAATTTTCCCATCAGCATCAGCATCACATAAATGCAATCAAGATATGATGCATTCACTGAACAATCCTACTACTACGCCTGCTACACCTAATGTCAATACTACTAATAACAATAATATAAGTAGTAGTGGTAGTGGTAATAGTACAAATAATACAGCTAATTCAACTATTCATTGGATGAATCATCATTTTCAATTAATGAATTTTCATTTAGGCAATGTATTATGTGATGTTTGTCATAAGAATTGTTCAGATTTATTAAATCCACCAAAAGCTTTAGAATGTTTACATTGTCGTATGCGTATTCATTTTGATCATGTGGATAAACATGAAAAATTCGCTTCATGTCATAATGCCACGAATGTACGTTATTTACGTATGTCCAATTCAGCGACACGTAAAATATGGATTGAACAATTTATGACATTACGTCATTGTTTAAAAGAATTACAACAAACACCGGAACAAAGCAGCGCATTGATTGATGTTGCCGGTGGTGGTTTGATGAACAGTGTAGATCATCATACTGGCGGTAATATTGTACATATGAATTCGAATAAATCTTTATATCGTAGTATGCGTGCTGGTTCTTTAGGTCCTGCTTATTTGCCTAATACGAATCCTACTACTACTACCACTACTACTGTTCCCAGTTTTCCAAATCCAAAAACCGATTTTCAATATTCATTTCGACGTAAATTTGTTGGACCAACAACTGTTGTGATTTGTGGCAATAGTGGTGGTACTGGTGCGGCTGCTGCTGGTACTGGTAATGTAAATATGTCCGCTGGTGCAGCTGCTTTAGCATCAGCACGATCTAGTAAATCATCGCGTTCTTTATCACCAGCACTTGTATTCCCAAAAATTGATGATCAATAGTAACTAGTTACTCCATTCCTTCATTCCTTACTAATAAGTTTCAAACAATCGTTTATTTTTTAATTTTTTTTTCCCCCAAATTCTCAATAGTTTTTTTTAATGATAAAAAAAAACTGTCTTCCATTCATTAGAAAATGAAAATCAAGCGCTTTTACCATTGTATTGTTATTGTACATAGATGTACATGTATTTAACATTAATTAATTAATTATAGTAGTATTAGTAGTAGTAGTAGTATTAATAGTTTTATGCTTATCATTTTTGTATTTCTAAGGTGTACAACAATCAATCATGGTTTGTCCTTTTTTTCTGTGTTTCTTGGTACTCCTGATTGTTCATACACATGTAGTTGTAAATATACGCATATACATATATATATATTTATATATATGTATGTATATCGGAAGCCTTTATTCTGTGATCCTTACTTCTTGTAGACACATAGAGCTAGAAAGAAATCTGTTCATTTCTACACACTAACCATCATTGACACAATGTCTATGTTTTGTTTTTTTGTTTCCTGAAAATTTGTCCGTTATTGTTTTCAATGTTCAAATTAAAAGCAACCTGTTATTACTATTATTATTATTATTATTACTATTATTATTCAGTTTTTATTTTGGACAGCTGATTATAAAAGTTTTCTTTCGCCCTACCCCCCCCCACCCACCATCGCCACCACCACCAGCACTACATTTTTTTTTGTTCTGTAAGTGTGTGAAACTTTCTACTCGCAGTACTTCAGTATTTGTACAAATCAATAATAATAATAATCATAATCATAACTCGTACAGTTAGTTTATCGTCATTCGTGTGTTTCTCTCTCGGTTTTCTTCCGTTTACTCTCACCCTCCCTCTCACTCACTCACTCTCTCTCTCTCTCTCTGAATACACAAACAGGAATGTTTGGTTATGATAGTTGAAAGATTTTTCTTTTCACCGTATACACATAGTTTACAAGTCTGTTTCTTTTCTCTTTAATTCTTCTACTGTATTGTTGTATATTATTGTATGTGTTAGCTGAGATGGGCGTGTGTGTGTGTGCGTGTGTGCGTAAAAGACATTGTTAATCAATGTTCTATTATGCTGTTTTGTTCTTGCCGTTACTGGTTGGCCGATCGATCGATCGATCGATTGGTTGATTAATTGATTTAGAGAGATCAATTGAAAAACTAGAAGCTTTTCACGATTACACATGGTATATATATATGCCTCAACAGATCGATAGATTGATACATGATTACACTAGACACATAAAAGTTTACTCTCCTTTTTTTTAGTGTCGCCGTTGTATTATTTTTGCTTTATATATAAAAAAAAAATATTTTTCAAAAATACTATTTAAAATATATTTTTGCTAATAAATTAGAGTTATTACTTTATTTGTTGGTTTGACCAATGCAAGTGAACAATTAGAGTTTTATACAGTTGGCACAGATGTATTGTGTGTTCATTTGCTTGGCCATATCACACTGATATGAAAAGTTTATTATAAAAAGGAAATTATGTTGTAACTTCAGCTTTTGGTTGGTTTGTGTTTAGCTCAGAGGTACCTTGTGTGCTGAAGAAGGGGGAGTTGTGAGAAGCAGTGTATGAGATTATCTGGAATAAGAAAGAACATGAGAAAAAGATGAGCCGACGAGCCAGTAAGCACCAAGTATGCATTTATATGCAGTTTGTTACGGGTATGAGGGCGGATGTCATTTCCCGTCTGCTCACATCGTGGAAGGGTGTTTCTTGAGGGACCTGAAAAGGAAGATAGATTAGTGTTGGTCTTGGAGACCTGGGAGCGTGACCACAGAGCCCAAAGGACAACTGCTTGAGGCAGGTCACGCACGGCCTTTGTATGAGTTTTTAGAGTATTAGCTCCGCTCTTGAAAGCCCTTAGTGGGCACCCTTACCGACGGAGACGGAAATCCGTGAGGTGTGACATTTCCAGGGTCGATCATTTCTAACCCTTCCTTCCTTGTGAGAAGGCAGCATCACTGCAGATTCTGGTCGTACCAGGAAAACACCTTACTGCCGTCACACCCCTCTGCAGTCAGCAGTACGACTTCGCCCTCAGAACTTGAGTAGCTGCTTTTAATCCCATCGTTCTCCAGTCGACCTGCGTGGCATGGTAGAACCTTCAGGAACATATGTTCCAGCCAGTATAGCTCGTCTGGGTCATCACGATAGGCAAGCCCGACCACCACATCAAGGTAGCAGCTACGGTCGGGACTTATATGCAATAGACAGCAACGAGAAGTTTTCTTACTCATTAAGAATTCAAGGATACAATAATCTACCTTAATGAAATTGAGGACTGAATTCAAATCCGTCGGGAATTACGTATTATTAATTATTGAACATTGAATTCAGTTTCATAAAAATTGTCGTCATATGTAACATTCTTGTGTAGTGTGCATATTTTGTTTAGATTACATACAAAGCAGTGTAAACAATAAGGACCAATTCTTGGTAATCCTAATAAGTAACAACGGCATTTAGAAATAGAATGTGTAGAAAACATCAGAAATGAATATCATCTCTGGAAATGAAACTGAGTTTGTTTTTTGAATAATAACGGTTCGTATTCACTTTTCTGTATTCGAAAATAAAAAAAAAACACAAATGGTTTTCCTGTACATTTCGACACTTAATGAAGTAAAACCTTTGTTTCGCTTCCTTTTGCCTTTCGATTTACGACCCAAGGGCGATACTACTCTTAAGGATACTACTTCTAAGTCAATCTGATTATCACAGTAAAAATTATACCTGACAAAATGTATTTAGTATGTTTGAGCTTTTATTACGTCAAACTGAGCTGCATCTCTTACTACCTACCCCCAGATCACATGATATACAACATACCATGAGTTATATGGCTAATGTAGAACAGTTTCACTACGAAACATTTGTAGGATAATTTGTCATTACTTTGGCAAGTTTTACTAGTAGTCCATATATAAGTTAAGTTTACTTTGTAATCGATTTCATTGATATTGATGGTTGCTTTTCAACATTCCCCAAGGCTATTGTGATTAGGACGCTGTAATGCATATCACGATCGCCTAGTGATAATGAGTTCGACAGCCATGTAAGTAGGATGGAGCATATTGATTGACGTGATCATCAATCGAAAATAATCCGTATATGCATTAATGTACAAAAATGGTGTGAATGATTCATCAAGGGTGCCTAGTACCTGTGTGGTTGCGTCGCAGTGCTATTCAAGTCGTAGTGTTAAGACCGGATTTATGTGTGGTTCTCCTGAAAACCAGTATAAAATAGCGAATAAACCTGTTGATCTCGCTGACAGTCATATTCTTATCTCAAAGATTAAGTCATGCATATCTGTTTACATAACGTAAAACGGTGAGACTGTTAATAGCCTATTAAATTAGCTATGGTTCCTTCAAATTATAAACTCCTTGATTTGCAAGGGGAGACGGGTACATTTATTAAAACAGAATCAATGTATACATATAGTTTGATTTATATTCGATAGTGAACAAACAATTCTGACAAATTGATGAGGCCTGTTATCAATAAATTATTACTTTACGATTACTCTTTTGGTGAAGATTTTTATACTTCATCTTGTGAATTTGACCAACAAATGTGTAAGAAAGGATTAGATATCTCTATGCAATATGGAAAATGATGTGATTTTCTTCTTGGGAAGGAAGACAAGTGAGACAACATCATATTTTCTTTCAAATAAGTAATCGCAAACCATCTATTACGCTTAAAGTTATAAGTTAAATAGAAGACATTTGAAATAATCAATCGATCATTGTTAGACCACCATTAGAAACCTGGAAGCACTGGACGACCGTTTCGTCCTAGTATGGGACTCCTCAGCAGTGCGCATCCACGACTCCTGCTCCTCGCATGATTCGAACTCGGGACCTTTGGCATTCATTGTAAGCGAACGCCTTACCATCGATCGGACCACTGGGCCGGCATCCAACGGTGTTAATGTCTAACTCTGATTGATCTAGGGATTTTGCGCGACCTCATCCATTTGTCTTTGGTAGTTACTGCCTACACCCGACAGGGTTGAACTCCTCCACTGGTCACGTCTTCTCAAATGTTTAAAAACGCAAACCTCCAAAACTGTGCCCCAAAAAAATAGAAGAGAGTTTGATGCAATTACCAATTTATGTATTTCAATCGAGATGATTGAAATATTGATTACTGTTATTTATTGCAATATTAACAAGATTCACCATACCATTTGTACTTCTGATCCAGTTAAAAACTGTCGACTGAAATCGATGATGAAGAAATACCTGTTTATAGAGAGAGTATTGTACAAGTTTAATTAACGTTTATACCAAGTTATCATGAAGATGTAATTTCAAAGTTTATGGTACATCTAGAATTAATTAGTGGTTAGCACTTGGTTCTTTTTAAAACGTTCAAAAAATTAGTGAAGATACTCAGAAAAATTGGAAAACCATATCGTAAATCGTTAATTTGCAAAATATCAGTTCATCATATCGAACTGGATTGCTCGTGATGCAAAACATCAATCCATTGTCATTATTCATGCGTTTCATAAAAATTCCATTGTGTTCTAACTCTTCCTTTCTTGATCTTCCCCCATCTTCTGCTGCTGTCAGACATTACGTTGACACTCACGTCATATACTACTTATAAGTAGCTTGCACCACAGTATGATCGATAAGTCACGAGATTGATGATAGTGTAGTGCCTCCACCACATATATTCCAGTTCGCTTACATTTCATTTGGTTAAGCCCTTTCGATTAATCTATTTAACCAAGCCATTCGCGTAGCAACAACTTATATGTACCCATCCGTTCTTGTTACTGTCTGGTTTGTATGAGCTCACATGACGTGTCCCATTTGTCATTTCAACTTGTCAACTATTCATAGCTTTTATTCATGTTTGCCTATTTCGCTTGTCAGATGTCTGTCTTATTTTTGTCTGACTATATAATCTTAGTCAAGCTCTATCTCTTGGACTTGGCTCATTAGCCTTCTCCAACG